AAATAAATATCCACTGACAATAAAATAGGTTATGACATTTTTTGCGACATATTCAACCAAGCTAAGTTACAAATATCTAATCTTTGTTGAGAGAAGCAAATCATAAAAGAGTACCTTCATCCCTTGGTATCAACAGAAGACAGGCTCCAAAATTATCAAGGAAACCAAAATCCAAGGAGGCTCAGTACAAAGTGGTACAGAATTTGCATACAACCTATGTTAAAATTATATGTGTATGTATGTATGCATACACATGTACACATACCGCTTGGCCCAGAAAGTTTTTTTTTAATTTAAAAATTTTAGTATTTGTTTGTATATCTATATACATACAGACATATATGAAAAGGTCAGAGGACAACCTGTGAGAGTTGGTTATCTCCTTCTACTATGTGGATCCTGGGGATTGAACTTGGTGGTCAGGCTTGGCAGCAAGAGATTTTACATACCGAGTCTTCTCACCAGACCAAGATATTTTTGTTTAGAATAGATTTTCAAGTAGTCCTGGTTAGAACTGAAGATACTATGAACCTGAGAGTGACCTTGAACTTCTAATTCTGCCTCTACTCTCAAGTGATGGGAAACATGATGCAATCACACATGCATCAATATTTAGATGCATTATATTGAGTTAGAGCCCTACCTATTTCCTCTCACCCCAAGTATTTTCTTCCTTTCTCTATTTTTTTTTTAAAAAACAACTTGGTTTCTTGAGACAGGATTTCTCAGTGTAGTCTTGGCTATTCTGGAATTCACTCTGTAGACCAGGCAGGCTCTGCCCCCTGAGTGCTGGGATTAAAGGCATACACTACCACTGCCTGACCCCAAGTATTTTCTAATTATATTGGCTGAGTGTTTAAATGAGGATCTCATACAGAGAGAATGGTCTATATGCATTTGCTATTACTATTTATGAATACATACAAACGCATATGTATATACAAACTCTTATTATATGTAGCCCAGGCTGGCTTCAAACTCACAATCCTCCTTTCTCAGCTTATATACAACTATTTTAAAATTCATTTATTTTTATTTTATGAGCATTAGTGTTTTGTGATGGAGGAGGGTTAACTGTCTATGTGTTACTTTCATTGGTTAATAAAGAAATTGCCTTGGCTTTTGATAGGACAGCAGCTTAGATAGGTGGAGGAGACAGAACAGAATGCTGGGAGGAAGAAGGCTGTGAGGCAGTCGCCATGACTCTCCTATCCGAGACAGCTGCAGGTTAGAACCCTCCTGGTAAGCCACCACCTCGTGGTGCTACACAGATTATTAGAAATGGGTTAGATCAATATGTAAGAGTTAGCTAATAAGAGGCTACAGATAATGGGCCAAGCAGTGTTTAAAAGAATACAGTTTCCGTGTAATTATTTTGGCGTAAGCTAGCCGGGATCCGGGTGGGAACGCAGCCCGCCTTTCCGCTGCTCCTCACCACTACAGTTTTGCCTGCACATATGTCTGTTGAGGGTGCTGGATCCCCTGGAACTGGAGTTACAGACAGTTATGAGCTGCCATGTGAGTGTTAGGAACTGAACCGAGGTCCTTTGGAAGAACAGTTGGTGCTCTTAACCACTGAGCCATTTCTCCAGACACAAACTATTTATTTAAAGATTTATTTATATTTTACGTGTATGGGTGTTGTGCCTACATTTATATCTGTATACCACACGTTGCCTGGTGTTCATGGAGTCCAAAGGTGCTATATCTCCTGGAACTGGAGTTACAGATGGTCTTAAGTTGCCATGTAGGTGCTGGGAATCAAACCTCGGTTCTCTGGAAGAGTAGCCTGTGAGCTTAACCTCTAAGACATTTCTCCAGCCCTGTTATACACAGTTTTAGACGCTGAGAGCTTGAATATCCCCAATCTGAAAATTTCATTATGCTGAAACTTGTCAGTGTTGAAAGCACTCCAGATTTCTAGATTAGGGATGCATGATCTGTAAACTACATACATATCTCAAAACCCCAAAGCTCAAAATCTCAAATACTTCTGGTCCTAAGCATTTAAAGACAAAGGAAATTCAACCTGTATATTTGTAGATATATTTACATAAATAAATATTAAGAAAGGTAATGATTAATATAAAATCTAGGGCAGTGGTTATTTTAGATAGGGAGAGATGATCAGGGAGGGGATTCATTCAAGGAAGAAACATGGGGTTATCTAGGGTATCTAGGTATCTTCTATTTCTTGGCTTAATTCCAGCACTCAGGAATCATAGTCATGTGAATCTGAGTTTGAGGCCAGCTAGAGTCTCAGGAGGATTCTAGGCATCACACAAAGAGACAGGCTGAGCAGCAACGATGACATTAAGAAACATCTCCATCTAGAGAAGGAAATAAACTACAGGATACAGCAACAGTGCTTGAGATACTTCGGCCATGTTATGAAAATAAACCATGTCAAATACCCAAAGATAGTATTTGAGGAGTGCATGGGATAAGGCGAAGAGGAAGGTCCTAAAGACTCTGGATAGACAGCGTAAAAGAAGACTGTGGAACCTTGGTGACAATAACACAAGTATCTAGGACTGCCCAGGATAGGAACAACTGGAGAACCACAAGAAACAAGCTGCCCATGCATGCTTAAGCTTTGCAGGGGCATAAATGATGATGAGAACTACGGTATGGGGGGTTCTTTGTAAATATTCTTTCAACTATATATACTTATATATACTTGATATAGTTTCTATAAATTTCAAAGAATTTCTTCCAGTAAACATCTGGATCAGGCATTTTTACTGCTCTATTTGTTTACTGGTAAACAAAGAAAGAGATAGAGATACTCTATTAATGGGCTTATCCGTCCTGCGAAAACTATCTCCCAAAAGCATAATTTAAAAACAGCAGAAACAAAACTAAGGGGCAGGGTGATTGCTCAGTGGTTAGAGCACTTGCTGTTTCTATAGAGGATCTGTGTTTCTTCCCAAGTTCCCACATGGTGGCTCACAACCATTCCAGGGTATCTGATACCCTCTTCTGGCCTCTGCAAGCACAATGAACTCACATTGTATATACATGTATACATGATAGACATCCAGGCAAAAATTCATATAAAAATTAATAAATCTTTGAAAACAAACAGATATGTCCAGAGATAGGGGATATGGGATGTCCTTCGGTATGTGTTGCTTTTACTGGATAATGAATAAAGCTGTTTTGGCCAATGGCTTAGCAAAGCAAAGCCAGGCAGGAAATCTGGACAGAGATATATAGAGAGAGTGTGTGGAGTCAAAGAGATGCTATGTAGCTGCTGAAAGAGAGTAACACCAGAACAGAACCTTACCCAGTAAGCCACAGCCTCGTGGCAACACAAAGATTAATAGAAATGGATTAATTTAAGATGTAAAAGTTAGTTAATAAGAATCCTGAGCTAATAGGACAAACAGTGTTGTAATTAATACAGTTTCTGTGTGATTATGCATGCCTGGGAGGCCAGAAAATGAAAGAGCAGTCTCCTACAGATGGGATCACTCCCAATTTGGAAAAAAGAGAATCCATTTCTTAAGGGATCTGGTAATGTGGAAGACAGACAAGTATTATGGAGTGCTCAGGGTTAGGGCACTTGCCACAAAGCCTGACAATATGACTTTAATTCCTGGAACCTACATAGTAGAAGGAGAGAACTGACCAGCAAGTTGTCTGATTTTCACATACACACTGTGGCATGCATGTAACCACACCACACACTACATAAAAACAAACAAACATAAATGCTTTTAAAAATCACTAGCCAGGTATGGTGGCTCATGGATGTAATCACGATACAAACTCAGGAGTGTCACTGCAAGTTCGAGACTAGCTTGGTCTATACAATGAATTCCAGGACAGCCATGGCTATAGAGTAAGACCTGATCTCAAAAAATAAACAAAAAGTACTAAGCTGTGTATTTTGTGCATTTAACCATTCAAATGTCATCTTTTAATCAGGTGGGAAAATGGTGTTTTACTGCTAATTAATACTATAATATCACAATGATACTAAGCAACAATAATGGAAATATCTCACAAACCCTGTATCAGATCCAGATCTTTACTTCCAGCCCTCATGTTCAAGCTTGTTGGCCCAATTCAAAATGAAACACTACCTTAGTTTCTAAATTTCTTCTATTTATATCCTTCAATTTTCTTTGTCCATTTGTGCATGCTATCATGTGTATGGTGTGCACAAGAGTGTGGTATTTGCACATGTGGGTACATATGCAACACTGTATATTCATGTGAAGGCCCAAGATCAATGACAGGA